AAATGCAGCAAAAACCCTTCAAGATTTCAGCCCCTCCTCAAGTCCCTAGAATTGAAGTTCTTTGCAAGAGGGAGACCTGGGTTCCAATCCGCACATCATCCATGAAGCTCACTGGGGGATCTGATCTTGGGCCAAGTCTCCCTCTCTTAGCCTGACCGACCTCACAGGGTTGTTGTGACGATGAAATGGGGGAGCGGGAGGGGGAGGAGGACCATGTGCCCCACTTTGAGCTCTTTGGAAGATCAAGGCAATAAATAAACAAATGCAAAAAATAAAAGAGAAACGAATCTGGCCACGTCTACGCGAAAGCAAGCCCCGCCTAATCGGGCGGAGCTTGCTCCCTACCTACCTCGGGGTGTTAGGATCGCGAGCGCAAAGCGCCTGGCGGATAATGCGATTTCGGGGAGGGAGATCGGAAAGCACCGGGGGGGGGGTCGCAATGGCCACAGAAGGTGCGAAATCAGGACGAGGATCACGATCTCCGTGGGATCTTCTTCTCCTCGCGCGCGTCGTGCTTTTTGCCTGGCCTCTCCGCGCTGCGGAAGCGGCGGCTCGAGATCTTCGGCAGGCAAAAGTAAACCACCACACGGGACCCACGAAGCTCCCTGAGGCGCCTCGGGAGAGGGAGACGCGGGCCGGGCCGGGAGGCGGCGGAGGCGCGACGTGTCAGCGGAGAAAAGACCTTGCCCCGCTTGCTCACCTTGTTGGTGGGGACGGCGCGGAGCCTCCGGAATACGGCGCCGATGTCCTGCTTGCTGGGCTCGCACATCCTTCCCCTCGGCGGACCCGGAGGCGACGGAGACGACGACCCGGCCGCCTCAAGAAGCGCCGCCTCAAGCAGCGCCACGGAGGGAGGGGAGGGAGGAGGGAGGCCAAGCCGCGCGCGCCTCGCACGCTCCCCGCCGACGGGGCGGGGCCTCCACGCGGCGCCGCGCGCAGGCCCACGTCGCGCCACGCACGCTCCGCGGGGGAGCGTCGCGGGGAAGGGCTGATTTGTTGGGCGCGGATTGGGAAGGCCGGGAAGCGGGGCGGGGCTTCCTTCGCGCCAGCCGGTTGGGCGCTGTGGCGTTGCCTAGGAGACCGGCAGGGCGGGGTTCCTTTCCCCTCGAGCCGAGGCCCAGAGCGGCGGGGCGCGGAGAGGGTTAATGCGCGCGGGGGGGGGGAGCATATAAAGGAGACACGCGAATAAAGGCGACACGGATATACGTGTGAACGCTCGACAAGTGAACGGAAAAGGACCAATGCCCGTTTCCTTTTCTCACATTTCATTGATGATCCTCAAAGGAGATGCAAAAAGTTTATACCCAATACAAAGTCCCTTTTTTAAATAGTTTCCTGATCCAAGAAAATAAAGGTTTTCTCTTTTTTGGAGGGTCGGGGAGCGGAGAAATAACTGGTTGAAGGTTTGCCTCAAGGTACAGGCACTAAAACGTTCAAGATTTCAGCCTCCTCCTCAAGTCCTTAGAAATTAAGAGGAAGGGGGTTGCTGGAGGGCTTTTTTGTTATGTTGTTTAAAGGTGAAGGGACCCCTGACCATTAGGTCCTGTCGTGGCCAACTCTGGCGTTGCGGTGCTCATTTCGCTTTATTGGCCGACGCTTCTGGTGAACCAGAGCAGCGCACGGAAACGCCGTTTACCTTCCCGCCAGAGCGGTACCTATTTATCTACTTGCACTGATGTGCTTTCGAACTGCTAGGTTGGCAGGAGCAGGGACCGAGCAACGGAAGCTCACCTGGGGATTCAAACCACCGTCGGCAAGTCCTAGGATCTGTGGTTTAACCCACAGCGCCACCTGCGTCCCTTGTTATGTTGTTTACCTACATGAAAAACAAGCGCAGGCTTGGGAGGAAGGGGGAAGAAATCTAACGGGTTTCATGTAGGGCTTCGTTTCTCCTTTCCAATTAGAGAAGAAGCAGGATGTGATATGACCTGCAACTAAAAAGAAGCTGGCTGGGCACAGGGCCAAACTCTGTGGAGGCCCTAGGCAGCCAAAATCTCAGGGGGCCCCTCACAAATTAACTCTTAATGTATTTTTGGATTTTGAAGCTCAATTGTAATTTTCTGTCTAGATCAGTATTATTTTGACCCATAGTTGCAGGGCTCCTGAAAAGCTGCTACCTATTTGGTAATCTGGCACTGACTGGGCAAGGGATGGAGGCCTGTCCCACCAAAAAAGTCTCTCTACAGTACCTGAAAAATTTAAAAGTCAACTTTGTTTCCCCCCCGCAGTAGACTCTTACTTATCAAATGGGCCATCAATTCATTAAAACTATTGGGCATAAAGAATTGGCTCATTTAAGAAGCACTTGGAAATTGGTTCTTTTTAGGAGCTATCAAATCCACTTTTGGGGTTGGGCCAGTAAAAAATTATTCAGCTCCACAACATATTATGCTTGTTGTATCTGCTGCTGTTGGAGTCAACCTTTGGAGTCCACATGCTGATGATCAGCGTGTCTGTATCAAAGTGCAATGTGATTGCAAAACTAGCTCCAGAGATTCTGCTTGAGGTAGCATTGAGATACTTCTGGCATGCTGTGCTATTTCCTGCTGTGTCTTGAGCATCAGCAGGAGTTACAAAACCGCTACCCTCCCTCTTGATAGTTAATTGGATAGATAGGATGAGGACACAACTTTTCGAGTCCTGGGTGTGGTTTGTAAGTGCACTGTGAATGTTAAATAAAAGCCAGAATTGTATGGTTGGAAGGGACCCTGAGGGTCATCTAGTCCAGTGTTTTTCAACCACTGTTCCGTGGCACACTAGTGTGCCGCGAGATGTTGCCTGGTGTGCCGTGGGAAAAATGGAAAAATTCGAAAGATTTTTTTTAAAAAATGTCAAATTTTCGCCCACTAGGCGGGCGTCGGACTGTGTTCTGGGTATGGGGGTGGGGTGGGGTATAGAGAGCAGCGGGGCTCTGGAATCTCCCTCTCCGCACACAGTGCGGAGACGGAGCTGTCATCCGCCGGCTCAGTGGGGATCAGCGGATCGATCCCCGCTGAGCAGAGAACGGTCCGCAACGTTTTTGTTTGTAAATACAAAGAGAGACTGAGAGCTGTTGACGAAGAGCTACGTGTGTGTCTTTCTTCGATTCCAGCCAGAATATCAGCTTTGTGTTCAGCCAAACAGGCCCAGGTTGCGCACTGAATAAAGTATTTTATAATTTTTCATATTCTGTTTACTTACTATTTCATAATAAAGTAATTATAAAATACTTTCTTTGTGTTTATTTGATTCCTATTCAAGAGAATTACTTTATATATAGTCAATATAGGCACAGAGTTAAATTTTTTAACATTTTCTAATGGTGGTGTGCCTCGTGATTTTTTTCATGAAACAAGTGTGCCTTTGCCCATAAAGGTTGAAAAACACTGATCTAGTCCAACCGCCTGCAATACAGGAATCTCAACATCCATGGTAGATGGCCACCCCACCCCTGCTTAAAAACATCCATGAAAGGAGAGTCCACCACCTTCCGAGGGAGTCTGTTCCACTGTCAAAGAGCTCTTACCGTCAGAAAGTTCTTTCAGGTGTTTACTCTGAACCTCTGTTCTTGTAACTTGAAGCCATTGGTTTGGGTCCTACCCTCTTGAGCAGGAGAAAACAATGGGTCGAGCTTTGAAAAACCGTTCCTGCAACTATTTAGCATGGGTCAGTTTAAACATGGGAAGCGTCGACCCGAGTTAAGTGGTTAGCACAGGGATGGTGCCTTCCAGATACTGGACTCCTATCAGCCCCATCCAGCATGGCTAAAGGTTAGGGATGATGGGCATTGGAGTCCAACATCATCTAGAGAGCATCACTTAAGCTATCCCTGCAGCACATTGCAGCACCAAGTCTGCATCTCTAAAGCAGTTTTGCAATTGCTTAAAGAGTTCACGTTTTGAAAAATAAAGTGCTGGGTTAACATATGCATAGAAATGTACTTGCCTGGTTTTGTTTAATTTTGAAGAGAGGCAGAACCCACCTGAATCACCTGGGAAATAACAAAACTGACAGCCACACTAGTATCTCATTTGCTGGTTTATATGGATGTAAAGGAGATCAGCAGGATATTGTAGTCCCACTGTTAAGGCAGGCTCCCTGATTGGTGACTGGGACAGGGCCTTCTCTGTAATAGCGAGCGCCTTGACTTATTTTCAGCCCTGTCCAAAACCAAACCTTTTAGGGGAACTGATTTGTTGTTGTTCAGCATTCCTTTATTCAGCATTTGTTTTATCTCAATATATTCATGCCTGAACACTTGCCTAGTGTAATGGGTCTGCACTTTGCCTATTCTGTATTTTGAGCATTTCTTCCAAAGTACCCGTATTTTTCGCTCTATAAGACGCACCAGACCACAAGACACACCTAGTTTTTGGAGGAGGAAAACAAGAAGAAAAATATTCTGAATCTCAGAAGCCAAGAAGAGCAAGAGGGATTGCTGCACAGTGAAAGCAGCAATCCCTCTTGCTCTTCTGGCTTCTGTGATAGCTGCACAGCCTGCATTTGCTCCATAAGACGCACACACATTTCTCCTTATTTTTTAGGAGGGAAAAAGCGAGTCTTATAGAGCAAAAAATACGGTATATTTGACTCCTTTTGTAGGCATACTTTGATAGCTGGAAGACAGGACTGTAACTTTCTTCAGTCTCATGTTAGCCAAAATCATGTGTGCATTGCTGGGACAAATAGTACTTCTACTTATCATTATGCATATACCAAACAGTAATTTTTGACTATTTATCTCAAAGTGCAACAAACAGAAAATACAGCGCTTTCAGTAAAGAGAGAGAGAGAGAAGTACTTTTACAGTAAATTTGTGTTCAGCATATTTCAGATTTTATTATTTTTAAAATAGTGTGCTATACAGAAAAATACTCCAGACTTATTTTTCCACCACTTGTGGCAAATCTACTGTTCATGAACAATTATGCTGGAATATTATGATGGCAGCGATCCAATACTGAACCTTATACAATTGAACTTCATATGTTAATAAATATATTGATCTCCAAAAGCAAATGTAATACCAGGAGCACTTACAGCATTTTAATTGCCAAAAAGTTATTTCAATTACAGTGTAGTTCCCTAAAATAGCATTTCTACTTATCGGATAAGATTTAGATTTTCTATAAAGCAACTTGTTCCAACATGTTCAACAATCCAGCTATTTGATCTCCTACAAATGTATACAATTTCACACTTTTACAGTTGATTTGCAACTTCAAACAAGTAGATTTTACAGTGTTCTGCTACAATAATCCACAGTGGGGCTACTGCGAGTTTATATTTGGAGCCACGATTCTACCTACAAATATTAATATTAGGATGTAACTACTATGTTCATCTTATTTGAGAATCAAAGTCACATAATACTTAGGCCTCACTCCAGTGTACTGTGGATGCAGGGCCCACAGGAGGATCCCAGGAATGCATAGCGGAAGACTGGTCTTCTCCCCCCGCCCCACCCCAGCCTTTACAAGGAGTGGGAATCTTGTGCGTACCTTGCAACTCCCAGGCAGCCCTCACTCCTCCACCTCCATCAAGGAAAGGGAGATTGGGGTGGACAGGGACGTATTATGTGTGCATGCAGGTCTCTTCCTCCTGAAATCACTCCATATGGAAGAGGGTCAAAACTGGGCTCCTATATCCTTAGGACAATCCCTCCCAGCTACTACATCCACAGTGGACTGGCTTGAGCAGCTGATCTACTTTATGTTTAAATGAGTAAGCACTGTCAAAGCACAATTTAAATATGTTATAATTTAAATGGCTTGCTCTAGAGCTGCAACGTCCCACTGACATGGATAGCAAACTCACATTTACTAGTGCTGGACTCCACCTTAAATCTAATGCATAGACAATAGGCTGGCTAATTAGGATATGCTCTTTAAACATTTGAATATCAAATTATATATACACATATGCACAACTTAAAGAGCATCTCAATAAAAAAAGCATTAATCTATTTTACAGTCTTTTGCTTGAAAAAATAATCTCCGTAGACGTTTCCAAATTGCACAAAATCATTAACATCTTGCAAAATGTAAATTTCTCAGCAAGAATATGATGGAAATAGTTTTAAATATTATACTTTTAGAAATCCTCTTGGAAGTCGTAATTTGGAAAATTCATGTTTCTGGTGCCAAAATGCATCAATGGCATTCCAGAAACCCAAACTAACATTTGCAGACAGTATGCTACAATGTTATGTAACAGACGCAATTTGGCATTTTACACCATTAAGGCATGGAAAAGTTAACAGTACAATGTAAACTGAGGAATAATCAAATTCATAACTTAAGTAGTAGTAGATGAATCAGGCATGAAAAGATGGCAGGCTACATAGTCTTTAAATTAAAAAAATGCATCTTTCAAATATTGCTAAGAACAGATAAAAAATTGCAATTAAAAAAATAAGTTGCAATTTATTGCAAATTATTATAGGTCACTTAAAAGAAGTGATTTAAACAAGAATCAATGCAAGCCACCACCCAGAAAAATGGGGGTTGAGGCAGCAGCAAATTTGAAAATATACATAAGGCATGATAAAACAGTAAATTGGCAATAAGTTCTAAGAATATCATTTTCTTGCCAACTAAATTTCCACTCTGGCCTGGTTATTTTGTGCTGTGCATAAGCTGCCAACCTTTCCCAGTTTCAGTCTGAATTGTTATCTTGTCCCCTGGGAACACATATTTCAATCCATCATTCATTTGCATTAAAGGAAATATATACAATTTCAACACATTTCAGTTCTCTTCATGGCGGGCCACCAACTGCATACCGACTGACAATTACTACAGCACTTCTATACAACTCTTTGTCACTGGATTGCCTCAACATAGTTTGCGGGATAGAGTCCAACTTGCCCATTGTCCAAGCGGCCTTTGCACCAACCCTGTTCATCTTCATCTTCTATTTTAGTTAGCTCTTCCCCTGTGAGGAGAGAAAGTAATTTCAGAACCCCAAAAATAGCTACTCCCCTGGAGTGTTTGAGGAAAATGGGTCTTCCCATTGCAGTTACAGTACTGTCTCTTCGCCCCAATAAGCATCAGAGCATTAGAAATCTGGGTTTGATTACATTGCTCCTCCCATCCCTTCAAAAAGAGTAATAATCAAAGCATTCATTGAAGCACCATGTTAACTGGATAAAAAACACCAGATATCATCATTTATTATTATTATTTATTGATTTTATAAACTGCCTTATACCTGCTGGTCTCAGGGAATCAGAGATATCAGGGAAATTAGTTGCTACCAGTTCTGAGTACAGGGCCAGCTAGACAGACACAGCTGTGTAATGTCAATGTGTGTATAAGACAGTGGTCTGGGGGGGGGTTGATTTTTTTAAGCAAATATTTTTAGGGAAATGTTTCTGGACAGGCCTGGGATAAGAAGGTTGCAGAGCAGGTTTAAATCCCCTAGAAAAACGGAGCTCTCCAAACTGGGTGAATGGACAGTATAATAGCAAATGTAATTAAAAGTAAACAAGTAGAAAGTGATGCCCATTGGGGCCAAAAATCCTAATATCACATATACACTCATGGGTACGAAGTGGCAGTGACTGATCAGGATCAGGAAGCGCTATTAAGATTTTGGTCCTGTGTGCCGCAGCTGTAAAAAGGTGAATACCATGGACCGGGATTGAAAACAAAACTGGCAATATCATAATGCAAATGCACTTTGACTACTGGCATTTAATCTGATAAAGGATACTGTAGAAGTGAAAAGGGTTCAGAAATGGGCAACCCAAATGATCCCTTGTGAGGAAAGCTTACAACATTTGGGAGCTTTGTTTTAGGGAAAGGACGAGTAATGAAGGACATGATAGAGGTACAGTGGTACCTCGGGTTAAGAACTTAATTCATTCCGGAGGTCCGTTCTTAACCTGAAACCGTTCTTAACCTGAGACACCACGTTAGCTAATGGGGCCTCCCGCTGCCGCCGCCCGATTTCTGTTCTCATCCTGAAGCAAAGTTCTTTACCCGAGGTACTATTTCTAGGTTAGCAGAGTCTGTAGCCTGAAGCATCTGTAACCCGAGGTACCACTGTATATCAGATTATGCATGGGGTGGAGAAAGTTTTCTTTCTCTTTCTTATACTAGAACTTGTGGTCATTCCCTGAAGCTGAAGGGTGGGAGATTCAAAATGGAATACTTCTTCACACCACAAAAACTAGGGAATTTGGTTCCACAAATTGTAGTGTTGTCCACAAACTTGGATGGGTTTAAGTTGGCGATCAGACCAATTCATGAGGGTTAAGGTTACCAAGGCTAACGCTGGACCTTCCCTGTCAGAGGCAATATCCCAAGTGGTGAGGGAGGCTACATTCCAGTCCTGCTTGCAGGCTTTCCTTAGGTTGGCCAATGTGAGAACAGAATGCTGGACTGGATGGGTCCTTTGTCTGATCCTGCAGCCAGGCTCTTATGGTCTTAGAGATGCTTGTGGCTGGCATTGACCTTTGCCATTTGCTCTTCTGTTTCAGGCAGCAAAATGTTTTGAGCCAATCCTGCCTTGCATCTTTTTTAGGGCAGAAAAAAGAGTAAAGGGTATTTACCAGTCTTGAAACTGAGTTCATCGAGCTCTTGACCTTCATAGTCATACAATGCCCGTACTCTAACTTCCATCGTAGGGGATGTATCCTCATCAAATGGATTTGTTTCTGCAGGAGCATCATTAGATGAAAAAGGATTGTTGGTCTCCTCGTCGGACCAGTCCGCAGAGTAACTTTGGTTTTTCTCCGAGCTGCTAACACTAAACACACGGAAATATTCTGTTAGCTTCCCTGATACAAGTAGCTTGGCAGGAGGTGGGGTATCAATTCTAGATATCCCACCCCCTGCCAAGCTACTTCTGGGCACCTGCTTAGCAATGCTGTGCTTTGCCCCTTTTCACATCGCAGTGCCCTTAGAGACAATAAGAGTGAACATAGAGGTTATGGACCACCAAGAGAAACATCAAGGCCAACATGTTCATTTGAGGGGGAAACATGAAACGGTGAGAAAGGGGAGGGGGGGACACCTAGTGAGCACAGCCAGTAGCAAAGATCCAGCAGTAGTTTCAAAGCACATGACCACAGTTAATATTTGTGGAACCAGTGAAGGAAAACCAACCAGAAAACAAAACAGTGACAGAGCATTGGGAGGTTAGTCGGGTTTGCAACAAAATAACCGCTCAACAAGGACTTCATGCATTGTGCAACATAAGGCTTTTGTAGAAACCCGGAGTTGGAAACCCTGGATAGGAAAAGTGTAAGTATAAAAACAGTTTGAGAACCGTCTTTCACCAACTTTTTGATTTTATTGTCCTCCTTTTCACTGACAGTACTTCCAGTATCCTCTTCATCTTCAAAGGGATTGTAACTTGACTGAACTGACTGCACTGTGTCACCCGGAACACTAACACTGCTATTTGGGAGAGAAAAATCATGAAGGTGACCCTGCCATTTCACGGAGTCAATATACATGCAATTAAGAACAGAGCCATCCACATCCTTCTCTTTGGGTGGCTTCCCTTCCCAACACTTACTTAAAACGGAAACACGTCTCCCCTTCTTATTTCACTACAGAGACACTTCAGATTCAGTGTCACACATGTCTGACCTGCCACTATAGAAGCCAGCCTAGGATCCCAGTTTCAAGATGGTTTCTGAGCATATAATGCTTAGCAATAAGAATGGATACATTGATTCTGATTTCACATCAAATCGTAGTTAGCGCTAGCCAGGGAAGTATGGAGTGCACAAAGTCGGTCCGTGCGCTCCAAATCAGTCTTGATAGGAAGGACTCTAAAAAGTACAGCAATTAATACCATTTTAAAGGTTACAGTGCATGTTTACATTCTGAAGTCACTTACCAATCAGACAAGCCCATCTTGTGGAAAATGTGTTCAACCAAAAGATGAACAAATACAGTGGTACCTCGCAAGACGAATGCCTCACAAGACGAAAGGGTTTTTGGTTTTTTGAGTTGCTTCGCAAGATGAATTTCCCTATGGGCTTGCTTCGCAAGACGGAAACGTCTTGCAAGTTTGTTTCCTTTTTCTTAAAACCGTTAATACAGTTGCGACTTGACTTCAAGGAGCAACTCGTAGCATGTGGTGTAGTAGCCTTTTTTGAGGTTTTTGAAGACTTTGTATTTTTGAAGCTTTTCCAAAACTTTTCCAAAACTGTGCTTCGCAAGACGAAAAAATTCGCAAGACGAAAAAACTCGCAGAACGAATTAATTTCGTCTTGCGAGGCACCACTGTAAAACAAACTATCAAAACGTTACAAACACAATTTTCTATGTTGGTGAATCAGGAAGTAGAATGGAAAATAAAACTTATGGATGTCCTGACTTCCTGTCGGCTGCAGGGGCCATTTCGGACGTGGATTTAGCCTCTTGGGGGAAATCGAGCCTAGCAGAAGATTAGAGTTTCACAAGGGCACTGTGAGCTCCGGTAAAAAACCCAAAAGGGAGTTTTGGGTGATGGGGACCCAGCGGCACCCCTGGCGTATCTCCCCAAAGGCAGACGGACCGGTAAAAATGTTTGGAAACCCGAGGGGATGGAGGCGTGGGTGCAAGGGGGTCTACTTGCTACTTCTGCTGAGTGAAGCCTCTAGTTCCGATGGCAAAGGCAGCTGAATTCCCGACATTAAAAGATAATCCAAAGGCAAGTGGAGAAAATTTGGACTTATTTGGCAAAAGAAGGAATTCGAGAGCTTTGAGACGCAAACAGGGAATCCGTTCCTGCTGATGAGAAAATGGTGGCAGTAAGTTTTCTACCTCAAAATTGAAAGTATATCAGTGCTTTAGCTACAAACGGAGACAAGTGGGCTATAATAGCTAACCCCTGTCAGCCCTTTGGGGAAGGGGGGAAAATAGCTATATAAAGACACTCAGAAGAAGCTTGGACGTGCAATTATTTGTTGCTTGATCCTGAGCGCACTGGGAGATGCGGCTTTAAATCTGAGGGAACTGAGATCTGCTGGTGGTCTCCAATATCATTACTGATGATTAGGTCATTGAAGAGACCGAAGAGGGGGCGTTCTTTAATAATTTTGGATCCTGAGGACTATTTTTTATTGTGGTTGTGACTTTAAGAATTGGATTAGGCTGATGGGCAGCTGAAGAGAACAGATAGGAGAATTCAAAACAGGAAGAGCCCCAGAATAGACATTACAGAGATACTGGCAGATATTCGGAAAGATATAAAAATACTGAAAAAATCTGGACAGTAAATTTGATAAAATGGATGAAAAATTGATAAATCAGTTGGGCAGAATTAAAAGGCCAATTGGGAGAGGTAAAGGATAAAGACCCAAGCCCTGGAGGAGACGGTGAAGAAAACAGTGATCCCTCTTGTTGTTCTGGCTTCTGAGATTCAGAATATTTTTTCTGTTTTCCTCCTCCCAAAATTTGGTGCGTCTTATAGAGCGAAAAATACGGTAAATTGTATACAGGAAACACATGTGGCAAAAAAAACATGAAATAATTCTTAAAAATAAAAGACTAGGGAAGGAATATATTTCAGCAGATGACAGTAAAAAAAAGAGGGGTGGCCTTATATATAAAGGAAAAATATGAATCTCGTCAGATTTTTAAGGATGATAACGGAAGGATAATAGCAGTGGAAATGGTAGCACAACGGGAAAATTTAATTATGGTGGGAATTTATGCACCGAATGACAAAAAAGTGAACTTTTACAAAGAACTAGAGGAGAAGCTGTTTGATTTTATGGACCAAAAATAATAATAATGGGAGACTTTAATAGGGTAGTTTCCCCAGAGATGGATAGAACAGAAAGGAAAAAGGTAACGAATCAAGGGAAACTGCCCAAAACATTTTTCACTTTGGTGGAAAATAATGATTTAATAGACACATGGAGATTAAAACACCCACTTGAGAAACAATTTAGTTACTTCTCAGAACCAAATTAAAGTGCTGGTTGGATTGATTATATATGGGCTTCCAGAGATTTGGCAACGAGAATAATAAAATCTGAAATTCTTCCGAAAACTATGTCAGATCACAATGAAACAACACTGGAGTTGAAAGTTAAGGAGGAGACTTCATTTAGGTGGAGATTGAACGAGGGGTTGCTAGATAACCAGATAATATTGGAAAAAGCACAAAAGACACTGAAAGATTATTCTGAGTTTAATTTAAATAAAGGAGTGGACATTAATGTGGTATGGGATGCCTCAAAGGCTGTAATAAAGGATTTTGGATACAGCAGAACACAATTCAAAAGAGAATGAGAGAGAAGAAAAAAGAAGAGTTGTTAAAACAAATATGTAATGAAAAGAAATTAGCAACTAATCCAAAAGATAGCCAAGCTAAACAAAACATAAAAATGTTGCAGACACAATTCTCAATATTGATAAATCAAGAGATCGAATGGAAAGTTAAATTTTTAAACCAGAGAAGCTTTGAGTTCGCAAATAAACCAGGAAAATTGTTAGCCTGGCAACTAAAGAAGAGACAAAAGCAGAATACGATAACAAAACTAATAGTGGAAGGGAAAACAATAGAAAATCCAGGAGAAATAAGGAAGAATTTTCAAAGATTCTATAAACAATTATATAAAAAAGAAAAAGATGAGGAAAAAATAGAAGAATTTCTGGAAAAGAACAGGTTGCAGAAAATTCCCAATGACAAAAAGAACCAACTCAATTCCATTATTACTGTGGATGAAATAAAAGTAGCAATAAAACAAGCAATAATAGGAAAGGCACTGGGACCCGATGGCTTGACAGCCAAATACTTTAAGAAATGCGTGGAACAACTGTCAGTT